TAACTTGGTGCTCACTAACTGTTTGTTAAGGAAAGCATGGAACAGTTTTACCATTAAACCACTGTATCAGAAAGTAGGATGAGAGGCCATCAAGGACTGGTAGTGGAGTTTCAAATCCACACAGACCACAAGTGTTTAAACTCTGGTTTCTTCATGGGTTCTTCAATTCAGAGATTCTGAAGAGGATTAAACTCAGATCTTAATCCAAGACCCATTTATCAACCTTAGGAAAGTTGGACAAATTATTTTCATATATTGAATACATGGCCTTTGACTCAAGAAAAGATCCGGATCTTCTGTTTTGTTTATAAGATCATGCACTCATTGACTGTGTACATCTTTTTTACAAGTAAGCAATGCAAAATAAGTAGTCAGTGTCAGCATTCTTCCTCAACTTGGTTACTTTTCTGAAGCTTAAAAAATTTCTAAAGCATAAAGATTAAGACTTTCAAATTCATAATGCTCAGATGTTTGCTAGATTAAGAATGAATCTGAAATTGGAAAGGGATGAAATGAAGTTTTATTCAGAGTTCAAAATACTTGCATTTTTGAATGTTACTCAAGTAACCACAAAACATATAAGGAATTCTCTATTTTCCAATTCAAAACAACTTAAGAGTATACAACTCTTTGCCAATGCCAATCTAAATGTGTCAGCCAGATGTTTTTTTTTCCCTAACACAGTTCAATTCAAATGTTTTATGAAGGACCACCCATGGAAAATAATTAGGCAATTAAAAAAATAAAAATTAGGTCTACTGTAGCCGAGAAGAGAATGAATCTTTGAATTTTAAAACATAACAAGAGGAAACAAGGGTGAATTGAATACCTGTGTGAGACAGTGATGTGTCACAGACACTTCCTAGTAAATGAAATATATAAATTAGAATATCAGCAAGACATTAAAATACAGATTGCAGGACATAGAGAAAAAAGAACACATAAAAGCTCTGCTTACCTCTGAAACTAAAATTGGAATTTTTTTTATCTTTTGTAACTTCATCCAAGAAGCTGAAATTTATGGGAGTCAAGGACATTAATTATTGAGCTTTTACAATTTAGGTGACCTTTTTTTTTCTTTTCCATGAAACTAGCTATCAGCACAAAAATCCCAGTTAAAAATATCATTAACAGAAGTTTCTACTTCTGTGGGTAAGACATCTTTCCTCATGTAATACAAGCGCTGAATGCTGAAGGACAGTCAGGAATGTCAGCCAGAAATTTCCACCACCCCCAAGTTCAGTCCCTTGTTATTGCAACAACCACATCTTGTAATGCCTACTGTAAATGAAAATGTTATATGTGATATTGACTGAGAACAGTTAGCTTTCTAATCTTACATGTCTGCATTTGTACACAGGACACTAAATGAACATGCACTACGAAAAAAGAGAGGATAACACAAATACTTTGGATCTATTTGCCTTACTTACTGGGGAATACCTGTCAATGTCTCCATTTGCATTTGATTGCACAAATAAATTGTACCAAAACATTCTGGATGAATAAGAACTAATGGAACTTCTGTTCTTTGGATGATTTATCTCAAAAAGACATTTGAAGGACAACATGTATCATTATGACACATACAAAAATAGTAAATCCAAAGGTCACAAAGGTAATGTAACACTTCACTCTCTCAGAATCCCATACTTGAAACCATGTTACTAACTGTACACTACAATTAGAATATGGAACTTGCAGTTGAGCCAAACAGGTCAGTTATAAACTAACATAAATATTTGTATCAGTATAAAACAAACTGACTGCAATTGCTAGAAAAGGGAACTGCAATAACGGTTTTTTGGAGCTACTGAAGGAAGATCCAAGCTTTGTCAACATGATACAATAGCTTATAAAAAGGTTTTGTTGCTTACATTTTCCCTCCCTTGATGTGGTCAGCAAATAACAGAACCTAAGCCTCAGTTATCATAAAGAATCTTCAAAAGTTCAAAAGAGAAATGCTGCTATACTCTGAAGCCACGATTGTCATGGTCTTATTGGATCTCTCTAATTTACAGAACAACCTGGTCTGTAAATTATGAGCTTATGAGCTCATTAGGAAAGGAAAGAAACACACATCAAACGAAAGCTCAATCTCCTTCAGACAAACAAGACTAACATGGGAATTCACTGATTCGTTCCTTAATTCATGAGGTTTTTAACTCACAAGTTGTCTAAGTCATAACTTAAAGGATATAAGCAAAATACTCGCAGAGCTGCTGCTGAGAGCGCTCATCCTTTCTCCTCTGTCACAGTACAGGCCTCCCATTATCCCATCAGGAAGCATGAAAACCCCAGCAGATTGGCTGATGCTGGATATGCTTCAGAGGTGTTTTTGGGCAAGCTGTCATGTTAGCAACTTCCAGCTCTGACATTTGGTCTACATGATTCCCATAAGTTAGTGGATTCTGAAGGAACTGACCATCAGTAGGAAGCATTATGTCTGTAGCAGATGAGTAATGTCTTCATAATGACCTGAGCCCCTCCTGTAGGCTTCCTACGTGTTGCTCTCTCAGATCTCACAGCACTGGTCCCAACAACATCAGGTCTCAAGAAATGAGCTGTGTGTTAGCTAAAGCCTGAGCAGGAACTGAGTGAAGAGCCACATGACAGAAAGAAAAGCCTAAATGTATTTCATGAAATGCAATGAGATGAAATGGAGATATGATCAGGTACCAATTTGGAAACTGCTTCTACAGAATGTATAATGTTTTTAATTTAATATTTTAAATATATTAGTTCATATGAAAGTTGCTAACTGTAGTATAGTAAGAGCTTTTGTCACAGTAGGTAAGTTTTACCAATGAAAATGTAAATTACCTGGAGGCAGGTAACAATCAGATGATTCTCCCAGTGTCTAGATAAGCTGTGGAAATGCATGTCTGTGTGAATACCAACAGCTTAGAAAGTATTTGCAAGGCTGGGCAGTATGCCCAAGGGTCCCAGTGGAAAGGCTGGTGCAACCTAATGGAAGAGAAACTGGTTTTTGAGGCACTGAGTGAACTGTTTAGAAGGTGAGGAACAATCTGAAGAGCTTGCCTTTTCATATCCTGCTGCAACCATTTGCTTTCAGCCACTGATGGATGAATGGAGAAGGAAATTGAAACTGTCTGAAACAGGATTCCATAGGAATGTATCCAATTAAACCACAGAGAAAATATATTATCGATTATATGAGAATTACTTTTTCTGAACCTACATTTCTCTTTGTCTTCAAGGCTGAAGATAGTGAATGAAATAGAATAGGAAAAAAAACTGATATAAAGGAGCAGAAGTGACAAAGGAGCGAGAGAAACATAAAGCTCTTTAGGAGAAAGATAAAAAGCTGAACAGGTTTCTGGAGAATTTTATCTTCACTTCCACTCATAGAAAAAACATCAAAGGTAGAAAAGACAAACTCTCAAGATTAGATTTAAGACGGTGTAGTGGTGAATCAGCTGTATTAGAAAGCATATGCATTTTCAGTTTTCTTGTTTCATCTTTTTTTCAGACTTCATCGTTTTTTTTTTTAATGCACAGATTTTTTTCAAGCCTTTCTCTTCATTAATCGATTTGCTAACAATTAGCATAAGTCTCCCAAGAGAAAATTGGGAAGTTTTGCAAAATTTTAGTGCAATTTATATGAGTTGGTCCTGGAGCCAGGAAAAAGGCAATTAGATTCCTGCTTTCTGGAGATGATGACAGATTGAGCTCTGCATCCTGAGAACTTAGCCAAGGACACTGAGAAACAGTACCAGAACTCAGGGTCTGAGACACTAATAGAGAGCTGGCAGGTTATCTTGCATCAATTTGATGACTAACTGAGCAATGTTGCTTGGCTTGGTTTCTTCATGGCTCTGAGCCCACTTCAGGATGAAAACAGGCTCCGCTGTGGTAATAAAGACAGGGTACTTACCAGGCAGATAATAAAAGTAAGGTTTTGTTCATCACAGAATCGTTGAGCAATTCTTGCAGAGAGGGGCCTTTGGAGGTCACTGGTTGCTCCTAACCACCTCTGCCAAACCAGGTCAACTTCAAATTTGATCCAGGTTCAGGGATAGAATTGTTTAGAATCTTCTCCAACCAAAGACTGAAGATGCCCAGGATTAGGGTTGTCATATTTCCCATATTTAATTAAACTCAGGGTGTGATTTTTTTTCCTTTCCTTATATTGCATTGGAACTCCACATGTTCCCTCTGTGCTTTCCATCTTTGTGTGCCTCTGAGAAGACTCCTACTTCCTCTTCTCTATGCTCTCACATTAGGTAGCTGTAGGTAGCAACTTCCCTTCTTCTCACCACCATAAACCTACCCATTTCTTTATCCCTTCCCATGATCATATTCATAGTTCTCCACTGAACTAACTTCAACATGCCAATACTTTTCCTGTATAGGGAAGCTCAAAATGTGATGCTGTGCTGTAGCACTGAGAGAAGAGAATTAAGACAACCCCTAGCTGCTGGCTAGATTCTCTTATATGGAACAACAACGAGTTAATTTTCTTCACCTAGAGAGAAAATGGCAACTCTTGTCCTAATTATTGTCCAGAAGAATGCCTAGATATTTTCCCCACGAAAATGCTTTCCATCTGGTCATGGCCAAGCATGAACTCCCGAATGCAGCTCGTCCAGCCTAACTGCAACTCTAGAAATTCATGAAATCTTTATTCACCCATTTTTTCAGCCTGTCAAGATCCTTCTACCTGACAGCCCTGCACTCCAGTTGATCATCACTCCCTACTCTGGTTTGATACATTAGAAAGAACAAGAAATAGAGATGTTGTTGTATTTATGAGGTTTTCTTTTTTTACTCTTCCCTTTTCTGGATGGAAGTACATGCAAAAAATTTTATGCCAATACAGATTTATAATAACTTTCAGCAGAATTTGTCTTCTGGACAAACATGAAACCAGCATTCAGTATACTCCACAAGACTGATTAATTATGGATGTCCCTGCTGCCATGATTCCTGAAAAGGAATTCAATTCCTTTCAATTTCTTTCAAGGAACGAGGCAATGTTTATCTTCTACACTAGAAGTATATTCCAGACAAAGAATATTAAAAAAAAACCCCAAAAATTTCACATATAATTGTTGGGAATGAGAGAGTGGGAAAAGACTGAAATAAGATTCCCAACAGATCAAGAATAAGAAATACTGAATTATTCAAAGAATAAGCTCACAGTTAGCAACAGCTCATTAAAGACAGTACAAACTATGTCACTAGGACTCTGAGTCCATAAACCAGACTCTGCTACAGAGGTTTTATGCAGGGTGCAAAATGCACTATGCCCAAGGACCCCAAACCCCAGTTGCTGCTGGATCACAGGCGGGATCCTCATCAGGGTAGAACACAGGCACTGAATGTTTGTGATAATGCTGAAGCCGTGAGAGCAGTTTTTCCACTACATGAGGGTATTTTTCAGACACGTCATTTTTCTCTTCAGGGTCATGAACAATATCAAACAGCCAAAGTCTCTTTGTTGATGGCTCAGACGACTGAATCTGTGACTCATTGTACAAGGATGGTGGAGGGAACCAATGACTGCAGCCTACAGGAACAGGAACAGACCAAGGGTCACTTCTGAGATACAGAGCAGCAGTGTGGAGACACAGTTTTGCTACAATTGATTAATTCACTAGGTCTCTTGACAAGCCCCTGTGCAGTGACAGTTGCTGCAGACCTTAACTTTAGTTCTGCACCAGAGTCTCTCTAGTGCAGGGCTACCTAAATAGGAGTCTCATTTATGCAAAAAACCACTGCACCACTGAGATCCAAAATTCCATGTAACTTTATTTCATATCAATTAATTAATTCAGTGGCCCTTCTTCTTGGACGTTATGATCCTTATGGATCCCTTCCAACTTGAGATATTCTATAAGTTTTTTCCCTACAGTTTAAGTAAGTTGCAGACAAAATATTTGGAAAATGAAAAAAATACATAGTTTGTATTTTAGAAGTGCTCATTCTAGATCTTTGCATGGGATCAAAAACCTAAGAAGTTAGGAGAATTTCTATACATATGAAACAAAATTCAATTGTTTGTGGTGGGTGGGAGATAGGATACACTGTACAAAAAGGAGGTATTTTGTTACCTGGATATCCAGTTAGTAACTTCCATTTTCCATGTCTTATTGCCGCATGTATGGATATATTGAAAAGTGAATCATCCCAAGGAGAAGAATTGCTCTGTGGTAAAGATGTCCTCTTATCAATGCCAAGACCTTAATCAAACAATAAACTAAGTTAGGAACATTGCATATTCATGAGGTAATTTTTAGAACTCTGTTAGAAAAGAAAGCAGTATCATCCATTTATTTTTCCCTGCTGGATAAAGAATTTCTTGTATATATATGTGCAAAGATCTGTGCTATGAATCAATGGATGTATTTAACTCTGAACTTGAACTCCATTTTAAAAACTTGCCAGTGGAATGGTAAGTAAAATGTCACAGCTGAGTTCAAATAACTGGATTCATTTTGTACACAGGTATTATATGTGTATCTCATGTATCTGTATTAAGAACACTCAAAATTGGAATTGCTAAATTTGGTCATAAAAGTGCCTGAATCTTTTTCCAGGGAGGAATATAGGATCAAAAGATCTCCTCAGGTCAATGTTACTACTGCAAATTCTCTTAGGTCACTTCAGGGAAGAAGTCACAGGTTCTGACCAAAACAGAGAGCTGTCCCTTTGGGCTGAGCTGGCTGTGTTCACAAAAATCAGCAAGCTTCTTCTTTGGCACATCTTCATACTGTCTCTGGAGGAGCTGTGTATGATGTGTTCCCAAATTCTGACACTATTGAAAACTGAAATGTCAACTATGCACACATTCCCTCTCAATAGAGAACCTGAAGCTCCTTATAGGAGGGAGCTCAGTAAAAATAATTAAAATGCATTGTCCAGGGATGATTAGGAGTCCACTTTGCTATTGAAACCAACAGGCAGGAAGCAAGTCAGACAGACAGCTCAGGAGCATCCAAACCAATTTCCATGTCAGCCTTCCTAAATAAAATAGGCATTCAAGACATAACATCTAGAAGTCTTATTTTAACTGTATCAGCTGATAACAGTTTACCAATGACTACCAGAAGGCAACTTTAATCAGACTAGAAGACACAATCAAAGATGGAGAAAAACAAATGTTGATTTTCTAGCTTCTTTCCAAAGGAGATGGTTTTCAATCAGTTTAGGGAATCTGAAGGACTCAGCTGACAGATTTTTTTATGAGAATCCATGAGATCTACAATGGTCATGTAAGAGCCAATAGGAAGCAGAATTAGGTATTTCTAAAAAGAGTAAATTCTGCAGAACACAGTGGAGCAAATACACATCTAATGGAAAGAAGAACAGAAATTTGGGAAAGGAAATGCTAGACACAATTTCTCCATTTTTTAAGAAGGATTTGCAGAGTTTCTATTTTCTTGCTGGACTTTACACTTTGAGTTTATTTTCTTTAATAAACAGATTTGTGCATAGCCAAGTTCCCCATCTACATCAGACTTGTATAATGTTCCCAGATTGTAAGGATATAGGATGAGGAATAAGGATATAAAAGGGGCTACTTTTTGGAGTATGCATACACAGACTGGGGAAGACAGCTCATCTTAGCTCAAGAAGCACTGAAGCTGATCTAAAACAGAAAATAAACCTCAAAACAAGGAAAACTTCCTAAGTAACACCAGCAGAATTTCTTCTGGAAGATAAATCCTCACACAGCCATGTGATCTCCATAGAAAATATGAAACAGTTTAAAGATTAATTCTGCTTACTTTTCAACATCATTGTGTTATGTGTTTTTCTGTCATTGGCTTTGCTACTCCTCCTCGACTACTCCCCTTTGCCATTTACTTTCTTAAGCATGATGAAAGACATTCAGCAGGTCAAAAAAGAGAATCATGCTTTTTAAACCTTATGTCTCAAAACTACAATGTCAAGGCTTGGTCTAAAGATAAAATTATGTGAAGCTGCATTTGTGATTTTAAAGTTTATCATGAAGAATATGCTTCTGCTTGATGAGCTACATACAGTATATGTGGAACTACAACATTAGACAAGGTGAACTATTTAAAATACTTCAAATAAATGGTATGAAAGATTGTATTTTTAGATATACTTTGCAAAATATCCTTAGAATGCCATATATGAGACTCAAAATAAGATTCAAGGAGATAAAATAGTTTTTAAACACTCTGATTTGGTCCAGGTAATAAAACTATACTCCTAAATGAAAAAAATGCTTTTACCAGAGAATGAAGCTCAAGTTATTTGGTGAAATACTGTGAAATACACCAAACTTTCTTAAAGAAAAGTGGATAAATTCCCTCATGTTGAGCTGTTATAAACAGAACTCTGTCAGTCATGTTAATTCACCCATTGCAAGCACTTGTTTTGTGCCAAAGAAATATACTGTCTATTATTCAGGGAAGTGCACTGCTTTCCAGACAGTACAAATCAACTTTCATCTGACTGGATGTATTGGTCATGGAACACAGACTGATGTTTGTTCAAATGCTCTCTACAAGGATACTTACAGGACTGTCAGTTTATTACATTACATAAGCACCAGACACAGAAGTATTGTAAGTATATAATAAAAATTTTGCTTGATATGAATTCTTTTCTTCCCATCCTATGACTTGTAGCTTAAACTCAGATATTCCTCCTTCTGCATTTACCCATCTTCCTCCTTCTCTTCTTTTACAGGGATCGCTTTTCTGATTTCGCAGACTGAAAAAGTCATATTGGTTTTGTTTCCTTTTCAAGACAAAATGTTCACTCCCATAACATCTAAGCAGGTTTTTTTCTGCATTTGTTCTATATTGTGGAGGAGGTTTTATTTATTTTTTTCCATTATGATTGACAGGAACAACAGCCCAGTGGACTATTGTGCAGTCAAAGGACAGATGCCTTTTATTAAGCTCTGTAATTAAGCCAGGCTTCATAGGTCTGTATACTCTCCTTACAGATTTATATATTAAAAAATGTGATGCTTTTGCTTGTGTAGAGACTAAACATTTTACTTTTTTACTATTGGATCAGTGTATCAGTGGCTAATGAAATAAGCCTTTGTTTTTACCTTGAAAGAAAGTCTCACAGCCTTTCCCATGGACTTTATTATTGTCAAACAGAAGCTACTGTTTCCTGAAGTTCAGCTTTGGAGCCTCAGCAGCAGCTATATTTCTTTTTTAAGTAGTCGCTTGGGAAATGACAAAACTTGTATTAGTTAAGAAAGCAGTGACCTTTCATTCAGATATTTATTTTCAAATACTTAATGCTAAAATGAATTATTCTAATTACTTCAGAGTAATTAGTATTCAAACAGCTTTTATATCTCTATAGTAAAAGAGATATAAATGTCTCTCAGAAGATATTGCCCTTGGCAGATGATTTTGGAGTTTATAGCATAGTTCCAGATATCCTTTGTATTGACAGTCTTAAAAATGGTTTCAGGATCAGATTTTCAAAGGAGTTGAGGTGGCCAACTCTCACTATCCACAAAAGTAAATACTTTAGAAGTCTGGCCCTTTGCCGTTTACAGAAACTTCAGTTTAGTTCTTTTACTTCTGTTATCATACATTGTTTCTATACACATACATATTTCAAATTAGGATGAAAAATCCTATGTAATTTTCAACAGCTAATCTGTGACTTCAAGAAACTTAATTTTTTCAAAGGCCAATGTCATTAACTCTGAAAAATCTACACAAGATGCTCAGAAAGCATCAGTCAAAATGTGGGCTACTTTTGCAGACATAATTGCCATTTTGATAATTTGAATATTCCATAGCATACTCTTCAGGCAGAAAGTTGGAAAATTTACTACTCGATAAGTACATAAGTAATATCCTGACTGTTGACCAGAGAATATCCTGGACCTGGAAAAGTGAACAATCTTTCAGTGCACTAAGTCTTGCTAATGCACAAATATAAGTACAACAAAAGGGAAAGTAATGAAAGTGGCGGGGAAAAGCCAACACTCCATATACATAACAGCATGTGCTCTCAACTAGCTACTGCTATTTAGGGAAGTGTTTGCAAAGTTTAACCTTTAAACTTTGTTGCAAATTTTTACCTTTTTACCTTTAATGAACAAGTACGGTACAGAGGCTGTCCAGAAAAGCAATCCCAATACTAAAATTGGCAACAAACAGGACACTATGCCACCACTGAGATCCTTCTTGTGCCTCACATGGTGTACTGTGCAGTTTGGGCTCCCATGTTATGAAACAGACACAGAAAAGCCATGCAAGATACAAAGACCTGAGACAAGGAAGACTAAAGCTATGGAACAATTTCCACGTGAAGAATGACTGAGTAAATAGGACTCTTTATCCTCAAAAATGGTCAACAGACAAGAGAAAGGGCAGAGGTCTAAGAAATCGCGTGGCCACGGGAACCTGAGTAAGGAACAACAAGTCTTTCCCAACAAGAGCATTGAATAAATTAAGATGTCATGTATTGAAAATAAATGATAATATATATTTCCTAATTACAAACCAAACTCAGGTGTGGAATTCCTTTACATGGAATGCTGCGGGTGCCAAAAGTTAATGCAGGTTGAATAATGAAAGGATTCACAAAGTGGAACAAAAATCCCTCAAGAATTATTATTACATCCAAAATCCCAGCCTAAAGATTAAGAGCAGGCCATGGGGGCCACACAAGAGAGGTGTATTTATGTGCTTGCCCTCATGTACTTTGTGCTATATAACTGCTACTCTCAGGACAATGAACTGGACAGATTTTTGGTGTGGTCTTACACAAGATGTGTTACCAAATTACTTTCAGTTCAGAAGAGGCAAATAAAAAATGAACAAAAGAGTGCTATATCGAAGTACATTCATACAACTTTTATTATATTAATCCCTGTATGCAAGGATTAATACAATAAAAATTGTATGAATGTACATACAACTGACCTCATTCAGTATCCCATGTATACTCCTGATTTAAAACAACATTTATATTAGGACAGCAGCTCTTCCAGAAAAAAACCCTGTTTTCCTACATATTTTTGCATATACTTACAGCAATCTTCTGCTTAATTCATTAGTTCAGCTGTTCAACTGAAAGGGTCAAAATTTCCACCAAAACTAAGTAGAGAATCACAGCACCATAGCATACCTCAAGTAGTAAAGGACTCATGCGGATCATAGACCCCAACTCTCTTCTCCTCACAGGATTACCCCAAACTAAACCATGTGACCAAGACAGTTACGCA